AATCTCCTTCAATTTGCCATTGCAAAGATCCTGAATTAAGCAAAAATCAAGATAGAAGGTAATGAAGCAATTGTTAGAGTTGGTAAGTTTTGAAATAGAAAGTAAATTGTGATGAAACTCAAGAACATGTATGACATTAGACAAACAAAGATTACTGTCCAGATCAACAGTTCCAATATGTTTCACATAAGTTTTGGCTCCATTTGGTAATTCTACAAGAAATCTAGAGGATTGTTCTACAGTAACAGGTGATTTTAAAAGAGAATAGTTAAAAGCCATGTGATTAGTTGCTCCAGTATCTATTATCCACTTACTATTATCAAGACAAGAAAATAGGGCAACATGTATACCTACAAGATTAGCAGCTGGTGGAGAGACATTTCCTTTCCCAACAATTGAAGAAGTTGATTATACTGCTTGCTTGTCAACACTGGACCTACCACAGCAGTAGAATTTCCAGCTTCAACAGAATCAGGAGTTGAGTTTTGAGGGTGGGCTTGATTAGCAGAAACTTTTGTTTTGAAGGAGGATTTGTTCTTTGTGAATTGATAATCTGCTGGGTAGCCAATGAGTTTATAACAAGACTCCTTCTTGTGTCCAGGCATGTGGCAAAAATCACACTCAATATACGGATTTTTGCCTTTATATTTTTGGCCTTGACTCTGAACATTTCTATTATTGTGATCATATAGGGCAGTAGTTACATCAGAATTTTGATTCATTCCAGCTAAGACTTTTTTACTTTCATCTTGGTGAACCACAGAGTAAGCTTGCTTAACATTTGGCAAGGGATTCATAAGAAGAATTTGACTACGGACCATGGAATAAGAATCATTCAATCCAATTAAGAATTATAATAGTTTCTGTTGATTCAAGTGTTCCAAATAGGCTTTTGATGAAATATTGTCAGGAGCAGGAAGGCTAACCAAGGAATCAAGTTCATCCCAAAGCGATTTAAGCTTATCGTAATAAATGGCTACTGGGCTTGTACCTTGTATTAGATTAATGATTTCTCGATGAAAAGCAAACACTCTGGTTCCATTCATTTTGTTGTATTGCTCATTTAAATCTTGCCAAACCTGTACCACACTTGTAGAGTAAACTATTCTGTTAAAAATCTCTTTTGATACGGAATTGAAAATCTAGGTAAGAACCAATGAGTTACACCTTTTCCATTGTGGAACAAGGTGTGAATGAACTGACAATTTGGTGCACGTTCCATCCACATACCCTAACTTATTTTTTGCACAAAGGGAAACTGTCATGGCACGACTCCAAATCCTGTAGTTTTCAGTTCCAATAAGTTGTTTAGATACCAAAACAGAGCCTGGAGTGTCAGATGGATGAACATAGAGAGGTGAATTAGCGTCAATTAAAGGTGCTACTAATTCTTTAGTTGAGCTCGGCATAGGTAGTAAGCTTAAGACAACAATATTAGAGCTAAAATGAGCTAAAAACAAAGATGAATGAAAGAAATTCGAACTGAATCAGAACGAAATTGAAGAATAATCGAAGATCTCTGAGCTAAATCAAGCTTCGATTGAAAAACAGGAAAATTTGGGGCAAAAGAGCTCTAATTGAAGGTTCTTGATACTTTTGAGTTTGATCGGAAATAGAAACGAACTTGATTGATCTGATATTCTCTGATAAAAAAAAAAAAAAGAATCTTGATGCTCTGATACCATGTTAACTTTCGTATGATGAAGCAGAGAATGATATTTGGGGAAAACTAAATCAATCTTTATTAAATGTACTGTACCTCTTATATACAAATACAATAATGTTAACTAACTTGAGTTAACTAACTACGGTTAACACCAATAACTAACTACTAACTGCATTAACAATATTTAACTTCCAATAGAACCGATGCTGTATAAGTCCGGTTCTGATTCCACCACTTCAATAATCAAAATGGAGGTCTGGGTACTCGGGGAGGAACTGATGGGTATCTGAGGTGTATTTGTAATTTATGTAAATAGGTGGGTGTGTATTATAATTTTTAGGGGTATATTTGTTATTTTTTGGATTATTGGGGAGTATAGTAATTTTATGGGTACCCAGAACCGAAAACCAGACCCAAACCCAAACCTGTGTTTGAGGTTCTGGTTTTGGGTACCCCGAAGTCAAAACTGACCAATTTTCGTTTCGCTTCTAAATCCCAAGAACTAGTCGATTCCGGTTTCGTTTCTAATTCCAGGGGATTTAGGGGGTACCAGGACTCGCCTACCTCTAATAATGTGTATCAAGATTTTAAAACCCGACTCGAAGAGTGACTCGGTCAGGTCACCGGGTCTTGGGTTGATCGGTCGAACCGATTCAGCCACCAGGTCAAACCGTGATGTCATCATACTGATGTCAGTGTAATGACATCATTCTGATGTCAGTGTAGTGACTCGGCTATTAAGCTTTTGCTTTCTCGAGTTTGGGGTTTTAGTCTTCTCAAAAACTTCAATATTAAAAAAGAGGGTCCATGAAGACTTCAGTTTCAATCTCGGACCTACAAAATAGGTTGGTCGTAGATAAACATAAAGCATATCAGGGATGAAACACGCCGTAGAAACGAGTTGACCTGGTCAAAAAGCAGACATTGCTTGTCATGTAGTGGTCAGTCTAGTGTATAAAACGGTGAAGACCTTTTTTATACAAAAGTCTTATTTAAATGAGAAATTTTATCTGTGGTCGAAAAAGCATGTCATTGTTTATCATTTAGGGGACTGATATGAAAACATGAAGAGCTTTTTATACCAAGAAATTATTAACAAAACCCAACTTTAGTTCGATTTTCTTTTACAATATCAAAATCTACTTAGGATCCTATGCTTACCACCAGGTCAAAAGTTATTGATCTTCGAAGAAAATATTTTCAAAATATACCTTTTAAGGTTTTGCTAATACTAAAAAATATCCCTTATCACTAATACCGTTAGCTTTTGTTACCTTGAATTTTCAGTTCATTTGAAAATACCACTTTACCCTAATTTGAAGATGGAAAGTTTTCTTGAACTAGTGAATTTTAGTTTAATTAATATTATAAATTCTACTTAGCAACAATAGGGTTAAGACTAAGTAATGTTTGGTTAATTTAAACTAGGGTGAGTTACGTTTACTGGTGATTAATTTTAAGAAAATATTCTTAATAAAATGACCACAATGCCTTAGAACTGTTAGAATAATTTAACGTTGTTCGTGACGAAGGGTATTTTGTAATGATTCCGAACATAATTTCCATAAATTAAGTATTAACAATACTGCAAGGTTTAGATTTTGAAAATTTCCCTTGTTAAACTTAAAAGAGGCTTAAAACGATATTTGCCCTCACCAATTATGTGATATATTGACCAAGTCGCAAATATGTCTTGAGAATACAATGAAACACAACTTTTCAAATCTGATTGAATGTTTGAAAAGTTAAAGTCATTCTAAATTTTAATATCTTTAAGGCCAAACAAAGCAAAAGCGCTTGGAAAATTTAGGCATCTGGTTAAGTTGGTTTCATACTACATGTTGATGCGTGATTTTTACACCAACGAAACGCACGTGTGAATTGTTGAGCTGACCCAGAAGACACACTTGAAAGTAATGAAAAATGAAATAATAAAGGCAATGGGGGGTAGTTTTTAAAGTGGTTCGGATGCTAAGGTAGCAAGTCCTATGTCCACTAATGCTTTTATTGATAATGAAAGGTCAGGTCGCTTTTAGCTGACTGATTTTATAATAATGTTACAAGGTATTGAATGTTGAGAATACTAGGGAAAGAGAGAATAATTAATCAAGCGTAAAATGTGCCAAAATCCCCCTCAATGAGAGAAGAGCTCCCAATTTATAGTGGGATGCCTTGAGGCAATGATCACTAAATCTGTAAGTTGGTGGGATTATTCGTACAAATCTTTCTTTATGTCACATTGCCCACCTTCCAGAGTGATTTGCGCGATTTAGAGTAGCAATTAGACACGTGGGAATACCATAGCTCCTGACTGGTCTGACGTGCACCCACTATCCTGACGGAAGCAGGCGGTGGTTGTTCCAATGATCTGACTTTTGTGGGCTGAATGGACTTGACGTCAGCCTTTATACTTTTTAGGCATAACACTACACATCCTAATTAACTTTTGTTTAAAATATTTCATTTTAATTAAGTACTCGATGTATTGGCTTTGGGATATAAGCTTGTTTGATCGAGCTTTGAACTTATAAGCATTTGAAATTTAAGTAGTTCCGTATTTCAAATAATAAATTATATTAACTCATTTTTCTTACTATAATATTATCAATATATATTTCGATTATATTACAATATAATTTAATTTTAGAATTAAATAAACAAATACTTTATAGACAAGTATTTTATTAAAAATTTATATGAATAATATTTAGATTCTTTATGTATAATAAACTAATAAACAAATATAATGAATTATAATAATATTCAAAAAAATAAAATTTCAATCAAAACAAGGAAGAAGATTTTTGCAGTAAATAGTGATAGAAGCATGAGTTGTTTGAAATATAAAAATAAGATTATATGATAGAATTTTAAAATTAAATAAGGGTAATATGATGATATACTTAGTCAAAATAGTTTATAAGCAGAGTACTTATAAACAAAAAAAAAAAAAATTGTTTATTTGGCTTATAAGCCTAAAACAATTATAAATAAACATATCAATTTGATTTTAAAGTTAATATACTGGTTTATAAGCTCAGAAAAACATCCCAAAATAAATTTTTCATCACTTATCACCTCAATGTGTTAAGAAAAAAAAATTTGGAATAAGACTTTAAACGTGTAATTTTAGAGTAAATGCCGCGTTCAATATTATATTAGTTTTTAAAGACATTAATTATTTCAGTAGGGTCATCAGCCCCCACTAGCCACTGCATGGTGCCGGCCTAGTTGGGATGCTTACCAGGCACATGGGAGAGTCAAGTCAACCTCATAATGCATGCTTGTTCTTTATAAATAGGACATCGAAATTGTATCAAAACTGGTAACAATCATGGCTTCTTCCATCTCTTTGTCTAAAATCATCCTTTCCGCCATTCTTATGCTCATCATCTCTGAAAAAATCACACCCCAGGAAACCACATATCGCTACCACAAATGCACAGTAAACTCATCAACTTGCAGTAGCACTTCCAATATTGCCTTCTCAACAAACCTCAATCAAACTCTCTCTTCACTAATCTCAAACGCCACCCTCAGCAATGGATTTTACAACACCAGCACCGGCGGCCTGCTGGACGGCTCCGATAAAGCCTATGGTCTCTTTCTTTGCAGAGGAGACATCGCTCCTGATTTATGCCAAAGTTGTGTCAAGGCCGCTAGTGAAAATATGATAACCCTTTGTCCAGAAGAGAAGGAAGCAATTATATGGTATGATGAGTGCATGTTAAGGTACTCAAACAGGACGATTTTCGCCGACATTGAAGAGAATCCTGGTTATTGTATGGAGAACATGAACGATGTTTCGAATGTGAGTCAGTTTAATGAGAGTTTGGATGGGTTGATGAATAGTTTGATCAAAGAGGCTGTGGGTTCTAGCAAATTTTTTGCCACAGTAGATGTGAATTTCACAACTTTTACTAGGCTATATGGTCTGGCGCAATGCACTCCTGACATTGTTTCATCTGACTGCAACATTTGCTTGGATGACTGTGTTAGTGAGATTTCTGATTGCTGTAATGGGAAGGAAGGAGGTAGAGTATACAGGCCTGGTTGCAATATCAGGTTTGAAATTTATCCTTTTTACTCTCAGCCACCTCCACCTCCACCTCCACCTCCACCTCCACCTCCGCCTCCACCTCCACCTCTACCACCAGTAGGTCCAGTACCACCACCTCCCCCAGCAGTACCCTCGACAAGTACAAGTGGTAAGCATTTGATTTTGCAATTTTTTTTTTTTTGGATTATCAGATTCATGTACATCAAACCAATGAGCAAGTTTGTGCATGTAATGTCCTGTATACCCACTTCCTCTTATGGGGCTTCGAGAGTTACGTTGTTCTTCACGTATTGTCTTGGGTTCGAATCAAGAGAGACGCGCTTTAAGTCGCACTAATTGAGCTGGATAAGAGAAAATTCCGAACCCCTCTATATGAGGTGAGTAGAACAATACGTAAAGAATATAACTCTTGGAGCCCACCAGAGGAAGTGGGCGTGAGATGTTACAGTGCATGTCAGATGCACTATTATGAATCTAGGTCATTAATTAAATGCATATAAATCTGATGAACGTTTGATTAATAATAAGAAATAAATTGATCAGCATTTATTATTATTTACTAATCATGAGGTGATAATATGAATTGCATAGTTAGCTGTATAAATGATATGGTATGTTCATTCCACCCTAGCTAGAATATAGCTAAGCATAATATCTTAGTGGATCAAATATTTCTTGTGCATGCAGGAAATAGGCAGATCTCCTCAAAGAGGATTATTGAAATTACAGTTCCTACAGTACTTGTCGTCACAATAATTTTATCCACTTCATGCTATTGTCTCTTAATTTGGAAAGAAGGGAGAAAGTGCAGAGCTGTAAATGAGGGGGAGGGTAATATATATATATATATAACAAACTAAAGCTTTCGTTTTATCATATTCTAACTAAAACTAACATAAAACTTCCATTTTTTTTTTTTTTTTTATATGTATTATGTCCAGCTGGTGATGAAATTTCAATGGTGGAATTTTTACAATTAGATTTGCATACCATTGAAGCTGCCACACACAATTTCTCTGATGGAAACAAGATTGGCGAGGGTGGATTTGGCAGCGTGTACAAGGTAAGAAACTTTCCCTTTTTTCTTTCTTTCTTTATATTGAAATGAGCAAAATTTTATCCCTAGGGATCCGACCAGATGATCTCACACCATCACAAAATGACCATGCCCCGACGCGACCATGTTGCTGGAAAATTTGAAAAAAGCGTTAGGACATCATTGTTGGGAACATTATTAAGAGGTTAATTAGTATATGTATTAGCAAATGATTGATTAATGGACTATTATATATCCTCAGGGTACACTTCATAATGGACAGGAAGTAGCTATTAAAAGGCTATCAAGAGGCTCAGGCCAAGGTTTGCAAGAATTTAGGAATGAGGTTGCGTTGGTAGCCAAACTTCAACACAGTAAGTTAGTGAGGATATTAGGGTTTTGTGCGGAAGAAGGGGAGAAAATACTCGTCTATGAATTTGTGCCCAACAAAAGCCTTGACTACTTCCTTTTTGGTATATGAAATTTCTTTATTTCTTCATAACATCATAAAATAAGGGCACTTCAACGTCTCACCTCACAACTAAAAAATTATTATTTTTATGGATGCATGTACAGATCCTGAAAAACAAGTACTTTTGAATTGGCCAACGCGTTGCAAGATTATAGAAGGAATTGCTCGAGGACTTCTATATCTTCATGAAGATTCTAGATTTAGAATTATACATCGTGATCTTAAAGCTAGTAATGTCTTATTGGACGAGGACATGGAGCCAAAGATAGCAGATTTTGGCATAGCAAGGATTTGTGGGATGGATCAAAGTCGAGGAAGTACTAGCAAAATTGTTGGAACATAGTAAGATTTAACATAATAATAATCCTTCTCATTATTCTTAGTAACTATTTGGATATATACTAGACAAATGTACTAATGATGCTAGATTCTAGTGGCTATATGTCTCCAGAGTACGTGTTGCACGGACAATTCTCGATTAAGTCTGATGTGTACAGCTTTGGAGTTTTAGTACTAGAAATCATAAGCGGTAAAAAGAACAATTGTTTCTATCAATCAGCTTATGCTGAGGGCCTCTTGAGCTATGTAAGCACAAACTCAATTTTATCTTACATAGAGTAGAAGTTGCATTTTTTTATGAGAATTAACCAATGTTTGTCACAGGCTTGGAGACTTTGGAGGGAAGGAACACCATTAAAGCTAATGGATCAAACTTTAGGTAATGTGTTTCTGCGAGATGAGGTCACTCGATGCATCCATATCGGATTATTGTGCGTTCAGGAAGATCCAATAGATAGACCTATAATGGCAACAGTATTGCTTATGCTTAATAGTTTCTCTACTGCATTGCCGTTACCGAAACGACCAGCATTTTCTGTTCATAGAACGACAGAGCAAAGGATGCCGAAAACGAGCCCAAATTCAATTCAATATTTAGGCAAACCTATGCCTTCATATGTGAATGACGAGCCCATCACTGAACTCTACCCTCGTTAGCTCAAGGAATTGCAAACTTTCAATAGTATTTATCATTCCATATGCATAAGGCTTGTTTATAATTTATGAAAAACAAATTAATCAAATTTGTTTTTGGTCAATAGCTTACACCTTTGATTTTGATAAGATATATCAAATTCCATAGGATATATAGTCCATCATATGCATATTAACTTTTAACTACATGAATATATAATGTTGGATGTATATATACACATAATTATTTATTCTTATCCACTCTAATCTTATTCAGTCCAATCCCAAGAAAATAATACAATCGGGTACTATGTATCAATCACGGTCTTAATATTCTATTTTCTCATGATAATAGAACACAAAGAAACAATGAATATTTTATATAGTAAAACATATAGAGCATGGAGGAGAAAGAGAGACTTTCACATATAAATGGCCACATTAATAGATTTGTAAGTAACCATGAATTACCTAAGTTAGATCAGTCAAAAGATTATGTCTAATTTTCATTGAGCCTCGATAATGTCTGAAATTTGAATTTAGTAATATAAATTTTCATTAAAAAAGGGGGTGTGAATGAATTTTTGGGAGTACATGATAGAGACCATAGCCAACTAGAAACATAATTAAATTTATGTTTAGTTTTATAGGATAAAGCTGTCCACCTAATCTAACTTTTTCCCTTTTCTATGTAGGATTTTGAAATTAATGGGTTGGTAAACACAAGATGTCACCATAAACAAATCCCATCTCAATAAATTTATATTAAAGCAAGTTTTTAAATATGCATATATGCTATTGAAAAGCACTTTCATTAGCTTTACCATCAACTTTAATTTGTCCCATCTCATCATTTTGTTGCTTCAACTATTAAACGTAGTACATAGGTTTAACCAACATGCATTAACATTTACTAAAATAATTAATATATTAGTCATATAAAATGTTAGCATAATGACAGCTTTAAAAGCAATATTTTTATTGTTTTGTGACGTAGTCTTTTAGTAAAGGACTTTTACTTAGAGCACAAAACTAAATTCATCCGGATCTAGACTTTGAGGAGATACTATTTTTTTTGGAATATTACAAAAAAATATATACTAGGTTATATTAAAAGTTTGAAGTGGAATAAAATATTTATTTACAGTTGTTTGAGATAATAATTTATACTTTATAGTTGTTACGACACCTATTAACTTGCAGGAATGTAATAATTTACTACCATGGATATTTTCTTATTAAAACCAAAATATTTCTAATTTTTTAAGCATGTTTAGAACTTTATGGTACAAAACTTTTTATATTTTTATATTATCATCTTCATGATTATTTTCTTTCTCTTCTTATTTAAGTGTAACAATGATTTTTTTCTTCGCTTAAAACATATATGACTTGTCACTCATTTGGATAATCGAGAAAGACATTAATATGTATTTGGTTAGTATAGTTAAGTTGTCGAATCTGATTACTCAATTGACAATGACTCTTTTATTCTCCACGTCTATTTTATTTGTAACTTGCAATTAATTGACATCAAAAGTCTTAATTTTGCAGTGCTTAAAACAGTTGACAATTGTCTGTGGCTCACATCAATTGACCATACAGCAACTGCATTTACAATTTCATTAATAATACTTATCATTTATGGTTCCAATACAAGATCTTCTATCCGTTTAAAAAATAAGTGATTAAAACGCTAATGATAATAATATTTGAAATTTCTAATGATGCTTGCATCACACAACTGAATTTTGGAAATGCTAGCTTGTGGTAGGAACATAACATTTGCGTTATATTAATACTAATACCAATACTACTAAAATAATGAATTGAAATCCTAATATATATTATTAAAACGTGAATTATAAAATAAGAAATCAAAATATTAATTTTTGTAACTACACTTGTATTAAGTTATAATCTCTTTATAATAATAAATTAGTTTGATTCCACACCATTATGATTAGAGAGGTTTTACTCTCTCTCTCTCTCTCTCTATATATATATATATATATTGACAATCACCTACTTTTCGTCCAAATCTGTTAGTAAAATCCATTTAAAGAATGGTGATATAGTAAATTTTAATCCAACCAAATGATAAAGAGTAATACTAACCTTACAAAGAGGCATACAAAGAGCTATGCAAAAAGTCAAATCTAATATTTAAAAGAACGGAAAAAGAGAGAGAGAAAGAGACAATCATAAATTTCAAATATTGGATTTAACTCTTTATATGGTTTTTTATATACCACTTTATAAGGCTAGTATTTTTCAAAGATAAACTTCAATATTCAACATTAATTTTAAATTAATCCATAAACCCCTAATTTTTTTTAACCCTATTTCATTTTTACCCTTTTCTCTTCTCTCTTTGCATCTCATCTCTTCTACCCCTCTTTTCTCTCTTATCTTTCTTCTTCTTCTCTCCCTTCTCTTCTTTCCTTTCTTCTCCCTCTTTTCCCTCCAGTCACTAGGCAAGAAGCTGGCATCGGAATATGAACTGGGAGGGTGAGGGCTGACAGAAACCGCTTCGGCGCAACGGGGAGGGGGCTGGGAGGGTGGGGGCTGTAGTTGGGTGCTGAAAAATTGGCGAAAACCACTGGCAGTAGCGCCCACTGTAGCCAGTTGAGAGAAAATCCGCTCCAAAAGTTTTTTCCTCTTCAGTTTTTAATTTTTAATTTTTTTTTTTCAAATTTTTATAATTTTTTACAGTTTGGTTGGAAGTGTTTGGAATTTGTGATCGTTTGTGGCGGTGGTGATGGTTGTATTTGGTGGTTCTAGTGGCGAGTTTAGAGCTGGTGGAGGTCTAGGCGCGGGAATCGCCCCCGACCGAGATAAGAACGATTTCATTTTTCTTTTCCATAGGTTTCAACAATGGGTTTTATGGGTTTGATTTTTGAATTCGTTTTTCTTACTGTGATTGTTTAGTTGAGATGGAAGATGATTTTGATTATAGAGTTGAGAGTTGAGATGGAAGATGAATTTTGAATGTGGTGTTAAGATGGGGATGAATTTCAATTATGTTTGCATTTATGGGAGGTGATTTTTCTACCGAATCTGGATGAATTTGGGTTAGAGTTTGACTTACAATAATATTATGCTTATTAATTAATACGAATTTTACTGATCATGTATTAATCTTTGTTAAAATTATATATGATATTGATATTATATATATAATATTCATACTATATTATATATGGTATCTATATTATGCATATAGTATTCATATTATATTTTAGGTTAGTATTTAATACCCATAGCATTATCCTTTTACTTAAATGGGAGTTGATAGTTTATGCAAATCTTGGTTGAATGAACAATTTTAACCTTCAGGTTGGTGTACGATTTTTGTAAATCATGTACAAGGTGTTGAAATTTTTTTATTTTTTATGAAACAATCTTAAAAGAGTTATTGAAGAAAATTTAATCAATGGGTTGGTACACACAAGATGTCGCCATGAACAAAATCCCATAACAGTAGTTTTATATTAAAACGGGCCTTTAAAATAGCATATATGCCAATTCGTTTGATTATAAGACATCACTATTTTAAGAAGATTAGGTTGACCAACATACAAATGCATTAACCATCACTGGATAACCCGATGGTAAAAGAGTAAAGGAAGATCTAACATAATCTTTCAAGTTCGAATCTCTTTGATAGTAAAAGAGTAAAAGGAGGATCTAACATGGTTTTTCGAATTTGAGTCTTACAACCCCTAATAGGGGTGACCATTGAAAGAAAAAAAAAACATGCATATTGCATTTATATTTGTGCCAGCTATAGGAAGTCATAAAAGTCATTGCCAAATTTTATGTTTCAATTTTATAAATTGTATATGTTACGGTGTTATCTTCCCCAAAATTATGAAAATGCATCTCGGTTTCACATCTTTGCTTTGTTTGATTTCTATTTTGCTTATAAACATCGGTGTCGGTACAACAATATATATTGTGACACGGGGAATTTCTCCACTAATAGCGCTTATGAAAAGAACAGGAACCTGATTCTTTCATCTCTTGCTAGTTGCTTCCAATGTCACTCTTCATGAAGGGCTTTTTTACACTGCGACGTATCGGCGAAGAGCCTGACAAAGTTTATGCTCTTTTGAATTGTAGAGGAGATTCTTCCGAACAACAGTGTACTAGTTGTGTAAGTTCTGCAGCCATAGATAATGTGAAGACATGTTTGAACCAGAATGAAGCAGTTGCATGGGGAGGGAGTCCTCAATGCATTGTACGCTATTCAAACCTCTCTGTTTCAAAAAAATGGAGGAGGATGTTATGGCTAGAGGCAGTTATGAGAATAATATGACAACCAACATGATACAGTTTGATTAGACTTGGGAGAGGTTGATGAATTGGTTGTTACTTGAGAAGCGAATTTGACCACTTTGTGAAGATTTATGGGCTCATGCAGTGTACTCCAGATATTTCAGAGAGTGATAGCGACCCTTATCTACGCCAATCTGTAGCTTTCTACTATGGGAAGCCTGGTTCTATTATCATGAGACCTAGCTGTATGTATATCTGAGATTTGAATCCTTTCTGTAACGCCACTCTTGAATCTACACCACCATCTCTTCCTTCTGCGCCACTAATTATCCCAAAGTTTACGTTTCAAGATCTTTTCCTGATATGAATTTTACAAAAGAAACATCTTCTTTCTTCAACAATTTCTGATCTCAAGTAGGCAAAGGAGGCATTACATCTAGAGTTGTTATAATAATTGTTTCTTCTATAGTGGTTATCTTTATAGCACTTCTTGGGTTCACTTGTTGTGTCCTTGTTATGCAAAGGAGGAAGGCAAAGCAGGAGATCAGGAGTAGGCTCAATTCAAGTCTAGATAACTTCATATATGGTATGGTTAATTTTATTGCTTTTCTGCTTTGAATTCTAACATCTTGTAGCTTGTTCATGACTAGAAATTGTATAATCTGTCTACAATCTACAGCTTTGTGAATTTGCAGATCCGTTTAAGCGTTTACTATTGGATTAAGAGACTCGATACAAAATCAGTGGAGATATAACACAAAGATTTCTTTATCTTCATGAAGATTCTAGTAATATTCTTTCATATGTCCACATGGTTCCAAAATTTTTAGATTTTGGAATGACGAAGGTGTTTAAATGGATCAAACTCACCATCGTACAAGTACAATCATTCGGACCTTCTAAGTACATATACAAAAATTATAAACTTAAACCTCATAAAACAAAATCTAATCCATTAATGGCAACTTTCGGTGGGTATATGGCTCCAAAGTATCTAAAACATGGACAATTCTCAATCAAATCCGATGTTTTCAGCTTTGGCGTGTTACTCTTGGAAATCATTGGTGGTAAAAAAAATAGTTATAATGAAGAGCAAGCACAAGATCTGTTAACCTATGTAAGTAAACACGAGTCGTTATCAATATCTTTTTCTATCACTTCTTCTTGGTTAATCTCACAATCAATAACCATGTAATCTTTGTCAAATTTTTGCACGCATGGAGAAATTGGAATGAAGGGAAGCTTTAAATCTGATAGATCCCATCTGAGGGTCGGTTCCAACAGTGAAATGATAAGATGTATCCACATCGGGTTGTTTTGTGTTCAAGAAAATGTAGCGCACAGACCTACAATGGCTTCCATTGTTCTTATGCTCACTAGCTGCTCTCTATCTCTTCCGGTTCCCTCAAAACCTGATTTTTTTATGCAATCAAACTCGGAGATGGATGATTCAGAATCACCAATGTTGGATCACAACGAAAATCATGTTCAGTTTTCGTTGAATGAGTCTTTAACGAAAATCAGGACGTCCACCGGAAAAACAGATTGTACCTAAAAAATGTCTTTAGAAAGAACATAACCAAAATCAGAGGTGTAAACTATGCAAAAAATTCAATAAATTTGTTTTTCACAGATCATAAACAAGTATTATTTGCAAGAACTTAATAAGATTTCTTTCTTCTTAACATGTGTGACGAAGATTTTCATTCCTTCTTGAAATTATTTGTGGAAGAAATAGTTTCGTAACCACTTGGCTTGTGGTTGGATGACAAGACCCTAGGTACATAAAGGTCTTGTGTTCAAGTTGGTCACCTACCACATTTATAATTTATTTGAATCATTGAGTCTGTAAGGTACCCATTGGAACCCAAGATTTAGTTGAGGTATGTGTAAGCTGACTATCTGGCTGATTGGGCTACCTAAAACATTTGTAACTTACCTGACCCATTGAATTTGTAGAGTATTTAATAGACCCTGAGAATTAGTTGAGCTTCTGTGCATGTTGGCTACTGGTCTATTGGGTTTACAGGGTGTTTAATAGATATTTAGAATTAATTGAGGTACATGCAAACTGATTTGGACACCTCGTTAAAAAAAAAAGAAATAGTTTCATGTGAGATGAAAGAGAATATTAGAAATAAGGAGTTATTATGTATATATTTATAAGTTCGAAAAAAAAAAAAGATCAAAAAAGTTAAAATGAAAGTTTTTTTCACAATTAATTAGGTGTATCATACAATTTTCCTTTCTTTTAGACTATGGAAAGGATTAAATGAGCTATATTTACCGGACAAAAAAAAAAAAAAAAAAACTTTTTATAAGAAACAATTGATTATAATGTTTTTTTATACATCTAATCAACTTTAACACATTTAATAAATACCTCTCAGGGGCGTTTGGTTTGGGGTTAAGTGGCATTACTGGGGTAATGTCATCTTATATTACTTGATTACCACGTTTGGTTGTCAAATAATATAAGATACCAGTAATCTTCAAATACCAATAGTAGTTACTATTGGTAATATAAGAGGTAATCTGATTACCTCAATTTTCTTAGGTTTTCTGAGATTACCAGGGTTATCTTTTTTTGTTACAATTTTATCCCTTATTAATAAAAATTTTGGACAATAATACCCCTACTTTAAAACAAATTTATATTAATATCCTATTTCAATTTTACCCTTGTTTAATTAAAATTTTGGACAATAATGCCCTTATATTTAAAATAATTTACAGACCACCATTGCCACCCAGCCACCACCACCCCTTCCACCCAGCCACCACCGCCGACAGCGGGTCAACCACCACGGACCACCGCCGGAAAATTGTCGGAGTCCCTAAAAACACTGGAAATTCTGTGGGAGGCTCCGGGAGGCTTCGCTATGGCCGTTTTCGGCCATCAATATGGCCAAAAACGGCCATAGAGGAGCCTCTTGGTCACGGTGACGTACTCACGGGCACATCCGGCGGTGGTTCGCTGTGGCGGCAGGAGGTGGGGGTGATTTCGTCATAAATTAAAGTTTTATATAAGCGGGGGTGTTTTAGCTAAATCTGAAATATTGGGGGTTAAAAATTGTTCAAAAATTAATAATAAAAATAATTTTATATTAATATTTAAAAGGGGGACAATTTAGTAATTTAAATAGCATACCCACCAATTTATTCCCCATAACCAAACATATTAATATAACATACCCACCAACTAACCAAACATATTTTTCTAAAGATTCCCAGTAATCTTTCAAGGTAATCTATCTTTCCAGTAATTTAATATTCCCAGTAATCTAACATTCCTGAACCAAACGCCCCCTAAAATATATTGGATTTCGTTATACGCGACATACTTAATACATATCCATATATAACCTTTGGAATATTGTCGAGCCACGCCCTTAAGCAATGGTGAAGATATCGTTACGAAAGGGTATTTTGGTCTATTGGGGTCAAATTAGGTTAGAGACTTCAATTTTTTTTTTTTTTTTTTTTTTTTTTTTTTTTTTAGGGGTGGGTTATTAATTTTATAAAATCCATGAACATGTGGCTATTTCTCCAAAAATATCAAAAAGCCTGAATAGTATTTTGAGTCTTTGACCCCCATTTGGTGTTGGATGGTTGGACTGAATAATTGCGAGTTGAGGAAAAGTCAATGAAAAAGGTTTCTGGTAGTATTACTCAAAAATCAGAGAGATGCATAACCCTATAGGCTGTAGCTAAGCAACTCGTTCCTTGTAAGTAAGATTTGCGTTCTTATTTTCTTCTCATTTTTTGGTATTTTACTTATAAATTTGTATGCACATTGGCTCGGAGTTTTTTTTGAGCTAAATAATGTCAGCTTCTGCTACTTTTATTTTTAACTTGAGTCAAGAAAAATTGGGTTTGATTCATTTCTCCTTTACAACTCACTTTCATCTAGGTGGGTTTATTTTTTCTTTAGTTTGCTTGGAGATTACTTTGATCAAAATGAGTTCTTTATGTGTTTTTTGTTTACAAGTTCTAATTTTGAAGCTGCAACAAGGTTTTTGTTCAGGTTTCAGTTTGGGTTCTTGAAGATGGCAATGAAGACCCTTTCTGGAAGCTGCTCTTCAGACCTTTCATCTCTCTGTAGAGGAGCTTTCTACATCATTAGGTATTTCTTAATTAATTAATTTTTTTTTTTTTCTGCAAAAAAAGCATTAATTTTTATTTTCATACTATTGCTATTAAGGCGTATTGTTCAATTTTAGGAGATCTGAATTGGGAATTACAGTATATAAGGTTTTGCATGTTTAGAAGAAAAAGGATTTACTCTTGCTATATGTTAAAATTTTATGTTTCATTTTTAAGAAGATTAGTCAAAGAGAATGTTGAAATCTTGTATAATTTTTTTTCCGTACCTTGACTTTATTTATTTATTTATTTTTTTTCTGTTTCCATGAGGGATAGAGCATTGATTTCGCTTTGTTCTTCTGCAGGAATCGACTTACTTCTCCTGAGGAAGTCTTCTCTTTCCGGGGAATCAGTTCTTCTTGTAGTGTTTCGGCGTTCTCATAAAAGCTAATTTACAGATATTTTCATGTTTCTTTCGTCTTTGTGGTACTAAAATGATGATGTTTTGATGTAACAGCTGATTCTGAATCATTCAACTTAAGAGTAGAAACTCTAACGCTGTTAGCAGCTGAGAAAAAAGAAGCCAAGTCTGTGTTAACCTTGTTCTTGATGCAACAAGGTCTGAGCAAGGCAGTTGCTGCAAGAACCGTCAATAAATCAGATTATTTTATAGACCACATTATCTCAAGGCTTCATTCTGCTCATATATCTCGGTATCTCGTAGGTTCGGTTGCAACATGTACTTTTTTTTTTTTTTTTTGATACTTTTATCTCGGATCTTGGTGTCTTTGTTCCCATGCTAATCAGTTTTACTTGTTATTGCAGGAAGAGAGCTCACAGCTCTTGAGATTGGGGACACCCTTAATCCTTATCTTCAATCACTCCTTGAAGAGCATGGAAACTTTCTGGTAGTGAAGAACTTTCATACTGCACCTATAAAAAAAAGCCAGTTATGCCAGTTTGTCAATCCCATTCCAGCTTTGACTCCAAGAAGCCAGAATCAGTCTCTCATGTAAGTGTCCCAAGTCCAGCAGCAGATCTACAGCATCGACGTTGCTACCTCTTAGAGCTTGGCATGGATCTTGAGCAGATCAAGGCAGCTACACGCTGACATTCTAGGCTTGCCTGCTACAGCTTGGAGGGGAAAATCAAACCACTGGTTGAGTTTCTTCTTGATCTTGGGGTACCTAAATCATATATTCCCACTATTATCAGACAAAGTCCTTTTTTATGCAGACGTGGTCTATATAAACAAATAATACCCGGCATGATTTGCTTTGAAGATTTGGGTGTGGACAAGAAACAGTGGGCAAAAGTTATATGCTGTAGCCCAGGACTCCTCAGTCACAGCAGGCAGAAGGTTCAGGCAGTTGTTAATTTCCTTCATGAGTTTGGGCTTATCAGGCGATAGCCTAGGTAAGATCTTAACTCAGTTCCTGAGAATTTTAACTTACAGAGTGGAAGACAGCTGAGTAATTCAAATCGCTTGGGGTTGATGTTGCCATAGTTCTCCACAAATATCCTAGAAATCTTGGTCTTTCTATTGAGGGCCATCTCAAGCCTGCGACCAATTTTTTCTGGGAAAGGGGATTCTGTGTGGAAGAAGTCAGGACCAACGTGTTGATATTGCCTAATGTATATACTTGAAGCTTGACAAAGAACTTGATACCAAAATGGGTGTTCTTTTTTGCCATGCATTATTTAAAATTGGTGCTGGTTAATTTGGAACAGAGAATCAGACCACGATATGCACTTTTAAAGGAGTTAGGAGTGAAAAAGGGGCTGAACCGCATGTTAGCACTATCACGCTGTGACTTTGAGAAAGTTTTGCAGATGAACAGGAAGGACATGCTTGCCCGAGAAGGGTTCAAGTCATGCAGAGAACAAATAATGATCTTCGGTTAGGAACTGGATTGTATGGCTGCTCAGTGGATGCCAATTTTGATAAAACTCAGAATCAGTGGCCATGAAATCTTTTCAAGATTTTACAGGCTTGGAGAAATTGAAAGAGAGGGACAGCTGTAAATCTGAAAGATCCCAATCTCAGGGTTGATTCTGGTGGTGAAATGATGAGATGTATTCACATTGTGTTGCTTTGTGTTCGAGAAAATGTAGTGAATAGACCTACAATGGCTTCAGTTGTTCTCATGCTCATGGGTTGCTCTCTGTCTTTCCTCAAAACCTGCATTTTTTTATGTAATCTAACTCAGAGCTGGATGATTTAGAATCATATATGTTGTTGGATACCAATGAAAATTATGTCAAATTTTTGTTGAATGAAGCTTCAATTACTAAGCTAGACGCTCGTTAACATGTTGTGAACTCTCACTTCTTGATGTGAAAGTTGATATGAGTTAACCAGATTCTGTCCATTGACGGCTTTCGCATATGGGAATTGACTCTTGTTAGTGAGAGGTAAAGTTCGGATATTAAAAGATCAGGACTTCGCAAGAAAAAAAAATTGTACATATGTATAAAATGTCTTAAGAACAAACATTACCAAAATCACAGGTGTAAACTATGCAAAAAATTCAATATATTTGTTGTTCATAAATGAAAAAAACAAGTCTTATTTGTATTGAATGATAAAAAATGTTGAACTTCCCCTATTCCTTGTGCTAACGAGGGTAAAGTTCAGTGATGGACACATCATTTATAGATGATGGCATGGATTTGCTTGAAGATTGAACTGATTCTGGACCCATTTCTGGCATACTCTGCCCTGTTGTGCTACGAACAAAGAATGCGGGCCGTTTTGGTAATGGTAGCGTGACCGAAAAACTGTTAAGCATGAGCACTACGGTTGCTATCATTGGTCTGTCTACTGTATCTTCTTGAACGCACAATAATCCGATATGGATGCATCTAGTGGCCTCATTTCGCTGAAAAGAATTGCCTAGAGCTTGATCCATTAGCTCCAATGGTGTTCCATCCCTCCAAAGTCTCCATGCCTGTGACAAACATCAGTTAATCCTCATAATTAATGGAATGCCGCATCTACATCAGATAAAATTGATTTTGTGCTTACATAGCTCAAGAGGTCTTCGGAATAGTCCGATTGATAGAAAGAGCTGTTCTTTTTGCCGCTTATGATCTCCAATATTAAAACTCCGTAGCTGTACACATCAGACTTAACCGAAAAGTGTCCGTGTAATGCATATTCTGGGGGCATATAACCACTAGAATGTAGCACCATCAATACATCAATCTAGCATCCAAATTGCTAATAAGAATAATAGTTTGGTGTTAAATCTTACTATGTGCCAACAATTCTGTTTGTATTTCCTTGACTCTGATCCATCCCACAAATCCTCGCCATGCCAAAATCTGCAATCTTTGAGTTCATGTCTTCATCCAGCAGAATGTTACTGGCTTTGAGATCACGATGTATGATTTTGAGTCTAGAATCCTCGTGCAGATACAAGATTCCTCGAGCAATTCCTCCTATAATCTTGCAACGCATCGACCAATCCAATTGCCCTTGTTTTTTAGGATCTGTACATACATCCATCAAAATAATACAACTTAACTGTGAGGTGAGACATTGAAGTACTTATTATATGATATTGATCTAAAGGAAAAGGATCAAACCAAAAAGGAAGTAGTCAAGGCTTTTGTTGGGCACAAATTCATAGACAAGTATTTTCTCCTCTTCTTCTACACAAAATCCCAATAACCTCACTAAATTTCTGTGTTGAAGCTTGGCTACCAATACAACCTCATTCCTAAATTCTTCTAATCCTTGACCTGAGCTTCTTGATAGCCTCTTAATAGCTACCATCTGTCCATTATTAAGTGTACCCTGAAGATATATATACCATATATAATCAGTATTATAAGGCGATGCTAATTACTAGTTCAGTTGGTTGGATCTCTTGAGATAAAAAGGAAAAAGGGAAATTTTCTTACCTTGTACACACTGCCAAATCCACCCTCACCAATCTTGTTTCCATCAGAGAAATTGTTTGTTGCAGCTACAATGGAATGCAAGTCTAATTGTAAAGATTCCACCACTGAAATCTCATTTCCAGCTGAACATTATACCAAAAGAAAAAATAAAATATTTGAAGTTAGTTTTAGTTGGAATTATGATAAAACAAAAGCTTTAAATTCAGTTCTTTTATATATGACCACCATTTCCATGATCTTTTACAGCTTTGTACTTTCTTCTTTCTTTCCAACGTAGGACACAATAGCATGAAGTGGATAAAATTATTATGAAGACAAATGACGCTGGAACTGTAATTGCAATAATTGTCTCTGAGGAGATCTGCCTATTTCCTGCATAGAGAAGAATTTGTTCAAGTACGACAATATATATACTTGGCTATATTGCAGATATCCAATCATCACTTCGGCAAAAAGCTTAGATAGAACGAGTATATCATATTATTCATATCGCTATGAGTTCAGAGTCACAACAGTGCATGTGGCTTGCACAAACTCCTTTAACTGGTTAGATACGTATTAATCCGATGATCACCAAATATTTGCTGAATCAGATGCTTACCACCGAAATTTGTCGCCGTTGCTGGTGGCAGTGGAGGTGATGGTGGAGGAGTGGCGTTTGTAGGAGGAGATAGAGGGGGTTGAGAGGCCTCAGTGTAAAAAGGGTAACTTTCAAACCTGATATTGCAACTGGGCTTATAAACTCTACCTCCTTTCTTCCCATTACAACATGTAGGAATCTCTCCAACACAAGCAGTCAAACATATGTTGCAGTCTGATGAAAAAATATCAGGAGTGCATTGCACCAGCCCATATAGCCTACTAAAAGTTGTTAAATTCATATCTTCAGTTGCAAAAAAGTTGCTAGAACCCACAGCCTCATTCACCAAAGTGGTCATCAAATTACCCAAAGTCTCATTAAACTCACTTGGACTTGTAACATTGTTTATGTTCCACAGATAAGCACCAGGTTCCTCTTCCATAACGGCGAAAATCGACCGGTTTGAGTACCTCAACATGCACTCATCATACCAAATAATTGCCTGCTTCTGGTTTGGACAAAGGGTTATGATATTTTCACTAGAGGCCTTGACACAACTTTGGCATAACTCAGGAGAGATGTCTCCTCTACAAAGAAAGAGGCCATTGGCTCTATCAGGGTCCTGCAGGCCACCAGTGGTGGTGTTGTGAAATCCATTGCTAAGGGTGGCATTTGAGAGGAGAGAAGAAAGAGTTTGATTGAGGTTTCTTGAGAAGGCACTATTGGGAGTGAAAGTTGAGGTGTTTGTGCATATGTGGTAGCGATATTTGGGTTGTTGGGCTGTGATTTTGGGAGAAATAATGAGCATAACAATGGCTGACAGGATGCATTTTAGCCAAAAGGAACAAGCCATGATGCTTAGTACCTCTGATTGGGCACTGATACAATTTCAATGGCGAGTAAAGTAACCCCATTATGGTATCAATTAACAATTTAATGCCCCAAGACGACATTAAAGAGGTTGACTTGACTCCCGTGGTGTGCATTTCCATTTAGGCAGCTGAGTTTTCAAAAGAAAGCCATAGAAATTATAGTTTCAAAACTCGAAGTTTGAAGTTTGACTCCAAATTTTCAACTCTGAATAGTATATCATTCTATATTACGGTGACAGTAAGTAATACACCAATGATGTGCAGTAAGTGATATCTCGTAATAGCCCAGAAATCACATAAAGGAATTTGGTTTCCCTACCATTCAAGTACAAGACTTTGATTTTTCAACATTCAAAAAAATTTGGAAAAGTCAAGTATCCATGAGGAGACAAAGACTTAATGTTCATGGTGACTTAAGTGAAAGGATAAAATAATTTAATTTGCATTTCCAAAAAAAAAAAAAAAAAAAAAAAGAAAAGAAAAGATTGATATACTGAATAATATATTCGGGAATTTTCAAAAGACATGTCTATCCAAAGGGAAAGAGAAGCACCCATATAATGTAAACAGAAAAGTCGCATCTATATATATTAATGGTGGTAATTAAAGTGAAAGTGTCTTTTGGGAAAGACATGGGTCGGTTAGCATCGTCCGGAGAGGACTAAATTGATCAGAAGTGCTCTACAACGTTAAAATAGTCTTCGACCCTCCTCCCAAACAATTGTCTAAGGAGGTTTAATGCCGACCGGTGTTTTAGCACAGTACAATGGGCCAAGAAAACATGACATATTTTCTGCTAGCTAGTTCGCAATAATTCAAGATTATTTGGATGTTTTTGTTAGCGCAAAACATAAGCAAACAAAATTGTGCTTCGTCGTATTTTGAAGGCTGAACGACTTACACATACCCAAGGTTTGCCGTAATGATAATTGGTACCTAAAAGGTTTAGAAACGACAAACAAATACTTTCTGTCATGCGCTGTTAGTTATTTCCATTTACTAATGGTGAAAATACTAGAATACCCTTAAAAGTTTGATATTTTAGTTTTTTATAAATTTAAAAATTTCTAAAAAACCCCCTAGGTTTCCTCTCAAACAACTGTCTAAGGTGGTTTAATGCAGACTAGTGTTTTAGTACAGTACAACGGGGCAAGTAAACATGCTATATTTTTTACTAGCTGGCAATAATTCAAGAGTATTTGGATGTTTTCGTTATTGCATAACATAAGAAAACAAAATTGTGCTTCGTTGTTTACATAGTTTACACCTCTGATTTTGATGTTGTCCAGCGGATGTCTTGATTTTTCAAAAACAGAACTTCATCTCTCGCTACAATGAGTTAACTCCAATATGCGAAAGCCGTCAATAGAAAGGATCTCATGAACTCAATCAAGAAGCAAATGATCAAAACAAGCATCTAGATCAGTAATTGAAGCCTCATCCAATGAAAGTTGAACATTAATTTCATTTTGATAAAGGTGATTCTTAATCATCTATCTCCGAAGTAGATTGCATAAAAAATGCAGGTTTCGAGGGAATTGGGAGAGACAAAGAGTAGCTAATAAGCATAAGAACAACTGAAGCCATTGTAGGTCTATTAACTACATTTTCTTGAACACTGTTGGTTTTTTGAGCATGAATGTGGTCTTACGGGAGAGAAAAGGGTGATAAAACAAGAAGGGAAAAGAGCTGTAATATTGCATTATTTTGAACTGAAAAATTACAGCAGACATATATACATGACAGACACTATTGCACCTAACCATAAAACATATTTTAGTCCAAAATGGCATCCTAACCACACAAACATAGCAACTCTGATTACATCACATTAATTTGATACAAAGTTGACAACCTAAATACATGCTGAACTCACCAAAATCCTTCACTTCAGCATGCCTACAGAACAGCTACGTGAACTGCTCCAGACCAGATTTTCAAACTTCAGCCTTTTCTTTTGCCGCCAGATCAGCTCCAGTTTAATCCAAAATAATGCTTCAAGCAAAATATCACTTCTTTGAACANAAGACAATCCTCACAATCACTCTGTGAAATATCTGGAGTACACTGCATGAGTGCATAAATCTTCACAAAGCTTGTCACACTTTCCTCCCCAATTGCAAACTTGCTTGTAGAATTATTAGCCCCAGCAGCAGCTTCTCTCAACAACCGGTTCATCAAATTCTCCCAACTCTGATCAAACTGTGTCATGTTTAAGGTTATATTATTCTTATTTTCGTCTCCAGCCATAGGATCCGCATCCATTTTGCCCAAAAAAGAGCTGTTTGAATAGCGCACAATGCATTGAGGACTCCCTCCCCATGCCACTGCTTCTTTCTGGTTCAAACATGTCTTCACAATATCTTTAGCTGCAGAACTTACACAACTAGCACACTCTTCTGCTGAAGAATCTCCTCTACAATTCACAAGAGCATAAACTTTGTCAGGCTCCAGGCCAATTCTTGCATTATAAAAAAACCCTTCATGTCGAGTGACATTAGAAGCAAGAGATGAGAGGATCAGATTCCTGTTCTTCTCATAAGTGCTATTACTTGTGAAATTCCCCGAGTCGGAACATATAGTTGCTCTGGTAACACCAATGTTTATAATAAGCATAAAAGAAACCAAACAAATCCAACGTTTAAAACCCTTTGCAGGGTTATGCATTCTTATGAGCTTGGGGAAGATGATGAAAGAGAACACCACTCTTTCACAATAAAAAACAAATAAGCTAAGAGATAGAATGCAGAGTGGACTAGTCAAATTGACTGGTCGACTCAGACTTTGAAACCCATGGTTTGAAATCAAAGGATGTTCACATACGGAGCTTTTGGAAATCAAAGCCAGTGGGCTGTAGTGAACAATGATGAGTGATTGAAACGTCAGAGGAAGGATAGCATAAGGTAAAAAAGCATCAATTTATACATAAAATCAAATTTTCTTATTCCTTTTTAACATTGATTCACATAAAAATACTTTCCAGATGGTCAATAAACAAAACTTTTTTCATTCCAATTTTGTTTACCCCTGTGGATTAACACTAAAAAGGACAAATTCTAGCTGTCTTCGATGTGAGGAAATAGTGGACTATTGTGTGTTTAGGAAGATCCAATCTGATTTCAATAATATTTGTTCTCAAGACATTTTATACATATATACACTCTGTTTTTCCTGCAGACATCCTGATTTTTCAAAATCTGAACTTTACCTCTCGCCAACAAGAGTTCATTTCTATATGCAAACCGTTAAAGGACAAAATCTCATGAACTATCAACTTTTACATCAAGACATGAGAGTTGAAAACATGTTAACGACCTTCTAGCTCGGTAATTGAAACCTCATTCAACGAAGGTTGAACATAATTCCCATTATGATCCAACATAGGTGATTCCGAATCATCTTCCTTCGAGTTAGATTGCATAAAAAATGCAGGTTTTGAGGGAACTGGGAGAGACAGAGAGCAGCTGGTGAGCATTAGAACAACTGAAGCCATTGTCGGTCTATTGGCTACATTTTCTTGAACAAAAAGAAACCCAATGCATGAGAAAAATCTCATCATTTCACTGCTAGAACCAACCCTTAGAGTAGGATCTATCAGATTCAAAGCCGTCCCTTCATTCCAATTTCTCCATGCCTGCAAAAATTCAACACAGATTCCATGGTTATTGATAGTGAATTTAACCCAGAAGAAGAAATGAAAAAAAAAAAAAAAAAAAAAGAAAATCGATAATGACTCATATATACTTACATAGGTCAATAGATCTTCTGCTTGTTCTCCTTATGAAAAGAACTATTTTTTTTACCACCGATGATTTCTAGGACTAACACACCAAAGCTAAAAACATCAGACTTGACTGAGAATTGTCCGTGCTTTAGATACTCTGGAGCCATATACCCATTGAAAACGGCCATTAATGGGTTAGATTTTGTTTAGTAAGGTCTAAGTTTGTAATGCTTATCATATATATATATAATATACTTACAAGGTCCCGACGACTCTACTTGTACGCCTTGAGTTTGATCCATTTCAAACAATTTTGCCATTCCAAAATCTGAAATTTTCGGAACCATGTCGACTGTAGAAGAATATTACTAGCTTTTAGATCACGATGATGACCCGAAACCTGGAATCTTCATGAAGGTAAAGAAGTCCTCGGGCTATGCCCCTATGATTTTGTATCGAGTCTCCCAGTTCAATAATAACATTATTGGATACTGCAAATTCACAAAGACATAGATTGCAGACAGATTGTAAAATATTCCAGTCTGAAAAGTACAAGCGGAATGTTAGAAGTCAAAGCAAAAGAGCAGTGAAACCATACCAAATATGAAGTTTCTAGACTTGAATTGGCCACAAGCTCATAGATGAGAAGCCTTTCATTTCCTTCCAAACAGAACCTAGAAGTCTAACCAAGTTTCTATGTTGAAGCTTGGCACTAAGAGGACCTCATTTTCAAATTCTAATTCTCTTGTCCGATTCTTTAGACAGCCTCTTCACAGCTATGTCCTGTCCATCAGGAAGCCTACCCTGAAATTGTATAGCTTCACTTAATTAAAAACTTACAATTTAAACCATTTTTACTGACAAATTGATATGCATTTTGGTTAATGAACACTACCTTGTAAACAAACCAAATCCCCTTGTCCAGCTCTTGTATCATTTGAGAAGTCATTTGTTGCAGCTCGATAGTACTGAAGTCGAATTGCAAGGATTCACAATTATCAATTTCATCAACATTAAGCAATAACAGCAACAAGTTAGAACTCCCAAAAAAAAAAAAAAAAAAAAAAAAAAAAGATAAATATTTGCTGGTCTTATAGCAGAGGAAATTGCAGATACCTTCTGTCTCCTGCTTAATTCTGATCTCCTGCATTGTCTTTCTCCTTTGTCTAACAGGACACAGTGAACACAACAAGTGCTATAATGATAACAACACAGAAGAAACAATGATTATAGCAGTTCTAGATGTAATGCCTCCTTTGCCTGCATCCACAAATCAGAAAATATGTGTAAATATATAGTCAAATATTTAATATATCTCCTGATCTGAATCTTTCCTGAGCAAACATAAGGACTAGATTGATCGTTAAAAGGAAAAAATCTTGACCACACGTGAATGGAAAATTAGGATTCCTAATATCACTCATTGCAATCAAAAAAGAAAGATTCAACAACTAAAAGAAATTATTATTCGGGATCCTTCCTATCTTTGAATAAAACAAACAAAGATAAAATTAGACCAATTCTCTCAAATGCTTTAGGATATTTCTTAATGTCCTGGCTATTCAGGAAAAGTGAAAAATATTAAATAAGTATCTACCTCGGAAAAAATTAAAGAATTTAATTCTTAGGAATTACAAGATCCATTCATTTTTGTCTCTGACAGATGGTAAGAACTTCATCTGAGTTCGAATCCTACCGAGAGATTCGCTAAAGATTAGAAATTTCTTGAAAAAAGAAGAAGATGTTGCCTTTGTAAAGTTCATATCAGGAAAGGATCTTGAAACATACCTTTTGCAATAAATAGCCGCGGAGAAGGAAGCGACGGCGGCGGCTGAGAAGATGTAGGAACAAGAGTGGCGTTATAGAAACGATCGAATTCCCAGATATACATACAACTAGGTCTCATAATAAGGCATCCAGGCTTCCCATGGTAGTGACTCTCATAGAAACCCACAGATTGACCAAGACAATCCTCACAATCACTCTGTGAAATATCTGGGTACACTGCATGAGTGCATAAATCTTCACAAAGCTTGTCACACTTTCCTCCCCAATTGCAAACTTACTTGTAGAATATTAGCCCCAGTGCAGCTTTCCTCAACAACCGGTTCGTCAAACTCTCCCAACTCTGATCAAACTGTGTCATGTTTACGGTATATTATTCATAACTGCCTCCAGCCATAGGATCCGCAGCCATTTTGCCAAAAAAAGAGCGGTTGAATAGCGCACAATGCATTGAGGACTCCCTCCCCATGCCCTGCTTCTTTCTGGTTCAAACATGTGTTCTCAATATCTTTAGCTGCGGAACACACAACTAGCACACTGTTCTGCAGAAGAATCTCCTCTACAATTCACAAGAGCATAAACTTTGTCTGGGTCTTCGCCAATACTTGAAGTATAAAAAAACCCCTCATGGAGAGTGACATTAGAAGCAAGAGACGAGAGAATCCGCTTCCTGTTTTCATAAGTGCTATACTTGTGAAATTCCCTGTGTCATAACATATAGTTCCTCTAGTAACACCAATGTTATAAGCAAAATCGAAACCAAACAAAGCCAAGATATGAAACCCATCTGCATTTCATAACTTTGGGGAAGATGAACAATAAACACACAATTATAAAGTGAAACATGGAGTCTTTTCCTGAGCTCCTCATGGTTTATGACTTCCTAGCACAAAATGTGAATATATGGATGTGGGTCAAGCTATGTACTACGTTTATTGTAAGCGCGCATTTATGTGGAGCATGTTTCACCTGATCTTCTGAAAATAGTGAAGTCTTCTAGTCAAACAAACTGATGATGCTGAGAGTGCTGGGGACAAAGTTGATGGTTAAAACTATATGTGAAAATGAAAGTGCATGGCAAGGGCATATATGCTTTTTTAAGACTTATTTTAATATAAAATTATTGTGGTGGGATTTCTTTATGCCGACATCTTCTTGTCACCAACCCAACGACTACAAGTTTCTTAATAACTCTTTTATAAAGAAACGTGCACAACACACTGATGAACAAAATGTGAATGCATGTTGGTCAAAGACATGTACTATGTTTAATTGTTTAATCATTTTGTGTTTTTTCATTGGACCAAGCTTCAATTAATCTTCTAAAAGTAGTGAAGTCTTCTAATCAAACATTAACAAAGTGATGAGAAGGGACAAATTAAGTTGATGGTAGAGCTAATGAAAGTGTTGGCAATAACATATATGCATATTTAAAGACGCTTAATATAAATTTATATGAGATGGGATATGTTATGGTGACATTCTGAAAATCCTCCATAAAAGGGGGGTAAAGTTTAATAGGTGGACAGCTGGATCCTATGACATTAAACATGGTTTTTTATTTTTCTTAAGTGGGTTGGTATCTTATGTACTCTCAAAAATTCATTTTCACAGTCCCTTTTTTTTTTAATGAAAATATATATTACTAAATTGTCTTAAATTAAATAAACTAAAAGAACAAAATAAATGAATTAAAAATTATTATATTACTAAATTAGCATGTTAAAGCTAAGACATGTTTTAGGCTTCAGAAATGATTAATTGTAACTACCTTTGTGAGCTGAGTGGTTTGATAGAGACTATTGTGTGTATTACTCAAGAGGTCCTGAATTTGAGTCTATCTTCGGTTATTAATAGGAGTAACCACTAGAGCTTTACCCGACTACGGTAGTTCCAAGGTCCTAGTGATTAGTTGAAATACGGGTAAGTTAGCTCGGAAACTCCCGATCATAAAAAAAAATGATGTAATTGTTCTTATTAGATGAAATTATAACATTTCTCTGACTTTTCATTCTTAGATGATTTATATGAAAAGATTTCATGCATGGATCATGATGTTAGAGAGGGGAACTTAAAAATAGTGTTTCATAACTATATCTTTAAAAAAAAAAAAAAAAAATTCTATGTCAAAGAAAAGCACACATATATGCTAGCTTAAAGATACAAAATTAATCTTCAGGCATTATCGAGGTTCAAGCTCAGTAATTGAAGTCTCATTCAATGAAAACTGACCTAATTTTTGATAGATGCAATGTTGGTGATTCTAATTATGTGTCTTTGTGCTGGAGTGCATAAAAAATGCAGGTTTTGATGGCGTTGGGAGAGAAAGGAGTCCACCAGTGAGCATGAGAACTACTGAAGCCATTGTAGGTCTATCGGCTACATTTTCTTGAACACAAAGCAACCCAATGTGAATACATCTCATCATATCTCTATTGGAGCCAACCCTCAAATTGGGATCTATTAGATTCACAGTGTTACCTTCAATCCAATTTCTCCATGCCTACAAATTTGACAAAGACAATGTGGTCAATAAATACTATCACTCGATCCAAAAATTAAAACCATTACTAAGTGTACAACAATAGTATTTAAGTTTAACATATACTTAGAGAGTCAAAAAACTTGAAAAATATTCTTGATGAATTTTACTTACGTAGGTTAATAAATCCGTGGTTCCTCTTCGGTAGAAAAAGAACTATTCTTTTGACCACTCATGATTTCCAGGACTAACACACGAAGCTGAAAACATCAGACTTGGTTGAGAAGTGTCCGTGCTTATATACTCTGGAGCCATATACCCACTGAAAATGGCCATTGATGGGTTTATTTTGATTTAGTAAGATCTAAGTTATAATTCTATATATACTTACAGGTCCCAACAATTCTATTTGTATTGGCTTGAGTTTGATCCATTTTAACAATCTTGCCATTCCAAAATCTGAGATTTTCGAAATCATATTGAGTCTAGAAGATATTGCTAGCTTTCAGGTCACGATGAATGATCCAAGACCTTGAATCTTCATGAAGTAAAGCATCCTCGTGCTATACCCCCAATGATTTTGTAACGTTTTTCCCAATCCAATGATGATCGTTTTGTGGGATACAAATTAACAAAGCCATAGGAAAGTGGACAGTTTCTAGTCAGGAACAAGCTACAAGATTGATAGAAACAAAAGCAAAAAAAGCAGTGCAACCATACCAAATATGAAATTGTCTAGACTTGAATGGGCACTAAATCATAGATTAAAAGCCTTTCATTTCCTTTCATACAGAAACCTAGAAGTCTAACTAGATTCCTATGCTGAAGCTTTGCCACCTAGAAGCACCTCATTTTTGAATTCTAAGTCCTTGCCCAGAATTAATTGACAATCTCTTAACAGCTATATCTGTCCATCAGGAAGTCTACCCTGAAATTGAATTTGAGAAAAAATGATTGCAACAGCATTCAAATATTCCAAACTTACAATTTAACCCATTTTAACTAACAATTGATGTTCACTTTGGTTATGAATACTTGATATTAATACCTTGTAAACAACCCGAATCCACCTTGTCCCAGCTACTATTAATCGAAAAGTTATTTGTTGCAACTCTGATAGTGTGAAGTCAAATTGCAAGGATTCCACATTATCAATTTCACAAGAACCTTAAAACATCAGAGTAAGAGATTAGAACTCAAAAGGAAAATTAGTTTCAGCTCATATAGCAGAGTAATTGTGGCAGCAGAAAGGGTATAATTACTTTCTGCTCCTGCTCACTTCCGATCTCCTGCTTTGTCTTCCTCCTTTGAAAAAGGACACAAGTGAAGGCAACAAGTGCTAAAAAAAACTACTACCGAAGAAACAAGATAACAGTCTAGATGTAAAGCCTCTTTTCTCTGCATGCACAAACCAGAAAAATGTGTAAATAGTCAACTCATGATGATACTGAAATCTGAAAAACATGATTATAACAATGATGATTTTTGCTAGGAAACAAAAAGAATTGTATTCAAACTATAGAAGATGCAAAAAGATGACAAGCTAACCACCTGAGAGAGGTCATTCACTATGCAAAAAGCATTATAACAGTGATTACAGTATTAATTTCCGAAGTACAGAAGAATATGATCAAGTAATCAAATAATCATGCATATGTCGCTATTATTTGCACAAAATCACCCATGATTAGATTAATAAAACTTAAATGTGATAGGCGCATAATATATATATATATATATATAAGTAATGTATATATATAAAGAAATCTTAAAAAATTTAGTACAAAGTAATGTGACAGAAATAAATGAACGAGAGGGAACACAAAAAGGCAAACTAATCAATTTAATTTTTATATTTCTTATCACATCACTTTATATATAAATCTTTGTAAGATTTTTTTGTCATCTACAATTATATAATCAAAGCAAAAACTTATTGTCACTTTGGATATCTTAAATGCTCAATTTAAAGAAAAAAAATTGGCGGGCATCAGTAGTACATATGTCCAATCAATGGGTTAGATTCAATTAGTGCACGTCGCTATGCAGGCTCCCACATTGGTCAGATCATATGAATCCGACAACCTAAAAGTTAGAAATGCAAATGCTTACCACTTTTACGTGCGAGGTAGCTGGCGGCGGAGGTGAATGAGAGCCCATAGAGTAAAAAGAGTAAATTTCAAACCTAATATTGCAACTAGGCCTACAAACTCTACCTCCTTCCTTCCCATTACAGCATTACGAATCTCACTCACACAAGCAGCCAAGCAAATGCGGCACTCAGATGAAACAATGTCAGGAGTGCATTGCGCCAGCCCATATAGCCTAGTAAAAGTTGTGAAATTCACATCTTCAGCAGCAAAAAGTTGCTAGAGCACAGCTCATGAACCAAACTGTTCATCAAGTCAGCCAGAGACCGATTAAACTGACTTCGATGTGTACCGGTTTGGTTCTCCCAATAAAAATGAGGATCCTCTTCCATATCAGAGAATATAGACCTGTTGGAGTACTTAACATGCACTTTCATACCATATAATTGCTTCTTTCTGTTTAGGACAAAGGTTTTTTATTCTTTTACTTGCGACCTTGACACAAATTGGCATAGATCAGGAGAGATGTCTCCTCTACTAAGAAAGAGGCCATAGGCTCTATCAGAGCCCTGCAGATCCCCAGCGTGGTGTTGTAAAATCCATTGCTGTGGGGGGATTTGAGATGAGAGAGAGAGAATTTCATTGAGGTTTGTTGAGAAGGCACTATTTGGAGTGAAAAAAGTTGTGTTATGCATCTGTGGTTGAGGTATGTGGTTTCCTGGGCTGTGATATTGGGAGAAATAATGAGCAGAAAAATGGCTGGAAGGATGAATTTTACCAAAGAGAGAAGCCATCATGCTTTCTAGTTCTAGTACAATTTCAATGGCAAGTAAAGTGACCACATCACAAGGTTAAATTGACTCCCATGGTGAGCATTCCAGTTAGGTAAATGAGTTGTCAGAGTTGAAAGTTGACTCACATGGTTGAAAGTGAGTTCTAAAGAAAAAATATATCAGACCCAATTTTTCTTGGCTCGAGTTAAATATGAAATAGCATAAGCAAAGAAAATTAACTCAAAAGAAGGGATAAATGAAACAACAGTGGAGCTAATTGATCCAATTTAGGTAATTTTTCAGCCATTATGTGAACACCAGAGCATCTTATCGGCTTATTGTGTGTTCAGGAAGATTCATTGGATTGACCTCTTTTCTTCAGCATCCTCTTTTTTTTAGATCCGAACTTAGACCTTTAACTAACAAGAGTAATTCCTATGTGCAAGAATAAGAAAAAAAAAAATTAAAAAACCCAATCTCTCGAACTTTATCGACTTTTTTTGGGTTAACCGGTAATTGTATTGAAAAAAAAAAAAAAAATACCACCTAAAAGGAGGTTGCCAAAAAGGCAAATGAGTCTAAAAAAATCTGCTAACCAGACAGACTAACTTTCACGTCTTTTACAAAAAGCAAGTCTTCAATCACGTTGCTCTGGTTGTTGGACCCAGCTTTCAGTAGTCTTCAAACGTGTGATCAACAAGGTAAAGCAGCAGAGAGTTAATCTTCCCTTGGACTTCCATTAAGAATACAATCAGATGGCAGATCTTCTGTTTAATCCTAACTCGATTGTTATCCTTGAACTTCTGGCTACTCAAAAGCATTCGAACTGCCTCAAAAATTAACTGTTCAATACGTCCTTGAGTTCTTTCTTGCCATTAAAAAGCCTAAAGTTCCTCTCTTGCCATAAAAAATACACACATGCTCCTAACAGAAGCCTGCCCACAACAGCATTAATGTTTTCCCTTAAAACTTTTTGGACACAGCAAACCATTCGGTCCAGTTTGTTTCCTGGGACATGAAGTGACCTTTAATTTGGACTTTCTTCCAAATTTCTTTAGAGAAAGAGCAGCCCACAAAAAAAAAAAAAAAAAAAAAAAAAAAAAAAAAAAAAAAAAAAAAAAAAAGAAGGGTGGTTATGATCAAGACAGAAAGCACAGCACGTATCTCACACAAGTCAAACTAGCCATTTATCCTGAGTTAATAACCTACCTCTGATGGCCAGCCACAACGTAAAAGAGTGACCACATATACCCGTGCTCGTCCAAACCAACCCATGCCGAGGGGCAACTGCCGGTTGTGGAGATATCCATCCAGACTTGCCCCGTAGAAAATCTAACCTGCTGGCCCTCTTTGTTTTGCCAAAAGAATTTATCAGGGGTACCACTTGAGGGCAAGGAGGCATCTGGGAGCTAATATGTGGGTAGGGGTGAGCACGGGTAGCGGGTAGAACAGGAACCGGGGTAAGAATCGAAACCGGAACGGGAATCTACCCAAAACCTGCACTGTGCGGGTAGGTTCTGGTTCCATTTTTTGGACCGCTACTGTGCGGTTCCGGTTCCGGTTCTTGCATGTGGAGGAAACGGAACAGAACCAGAACCAGAACCTGTAAAAACGGTACCCTGTTTGGAACCTGTAGGGGGTATCGGTTTGGAACCTGTTTTGGAACCTGTTTTTAGAACCTGTTTAGAACCCATTTTGGAACTGGATATAATGAAATATTTGTGAAATGTAAATAATGGGGGAGTTTCTATTATTTACATATAAAAAAATTTAAAATAGAAAAAGTTAAATTTTTAGAATAACCTAATTAAATATATACGAATACAATATAATTATTACATATAAATTACACCTATTAAAAGCTTTATATATATAATACATTAATATTAAAGTTTTGATCAATTAAGGTGATAATTGGAATTATGATCCAATAAAAGTGTTTTACATTTTTAATGTTATTAAAAGATTATTTTTGAATAAAATAGTATATTTGATTGAGTAATAATATATTTAGTTATTTACTTCATTATCAAGTTCTAAGTATATCTATAAAATTAAATAATTAATATATATGATAAATTGTAAACATTAATAAATTTAATTACTAGTTAAATATCATACTTAATCAATTATAACATTACCTATAGTTAAATGATTA